TTTCTAATGTAACAGAAGAGAATGAGAATGGAAGCAGATAATTTTCTCTGTGATGCTGGAACTGCTGAGAGAAGGAATGGATATGAAGGGAGAACTGGGGCTTAAGGAGATGGAGAAGGATTGAAATATTTGTTCTGGAGAATGAGTTGACCAAAGAAATTTACTAAGATTGTCTGGCAGTGATGTGGGTGCATTTAGGGTTGGTGATCTTGAATTTCTTGTAAATCAGTATGACCTGTTGTGTGAACTTCTCTAACAGTTCTTGGCTGAAGATACAGAGAAACCAGAGTTGGATTTAACAGGGTGGAGTTTTTATAAAACAAGTTTAAGTCATGGGAGCTTAGTATTGCCAAGGACATTACTAAAATGGTGAACCATGGCATCTAAGCTAAGGAATGAAGGAAGTAAAAAAGAGCCCTAATAGATTGAGAGGAAGTAGAGGGATGCATGGACTTTAGTGGTGGAGGAGTGATCACAGTGCTAATTGAAAAACTTGGAATAGGAGATCGTGGCTAGAGATGAGCATGCTTGAACTCATAACTTTGGGAATGAAGCAGTTACAGGTAATAACAAGATCTGGGGTGTAGCTACGGGTGTGTGAGATTAAAAGGAAAGAGAAGGTCTTTGGAGACGAAGAGGTAAAGGAACTGAGACGTCAGATGGGTTATTTTTGGAGATGTTGAAATCACTCAGGATTGTGCTAGGGCTTGAAGTGGGCAGAAAAGCTGTGGATCAGGGGCCAAAGTCATTAGTAAATACAAGGGGAGTGGCCCACAGGTAATTTGATGGGTGGTGAAGAGGGAAAGAAGGCATATAATTAAATGGCCTCAAAGGATTGGATTTCGTTTTTATAGTTTTTTGTTTGTTTGTTTGGGGAGCATAGGGAAGTAATGGTCTGAAAGCAGAAATGGGGAGCAAGCAGAACACCAATTTCACCCTTTTATCTTGTTTTGAGGACAGAAAAGATAAACCCTACTCCAGAGGGCTGCAGTGGTGGTCACTAGGTCTTACCTAACAGATTCAGTGAAGAGTCTGAGGACACAGGAGGGTTTACTGGATATGGTGAGGCCATTCCAGTGGGTACAGAGGAAAATTTCTGGGGGTGGAGTACAAATGGAGTGCTAGATCAGGGGCAAGGAAGTACATGGCATTATAGGGATGGTGGTGGAATAGATGCTGGGAGGAGGAGCAATGATTAGTAGGGTAAGGATCTAGTGGATTTAGCCTCAGATATCATGTAGGAGAGTGGAAACCAAGTCTAATGGCTAGAGTTCCCTGGGCTTAGCATCTATAATCTCTGCCTATTTGGACTAACATGGTGGTAAACCCAGAGGTTATAGTTTCTGTGTTGGCATGACGTGGAGTGGACTGGTCCCAGAAGAGGTGGCTTTGGTCTCAATCCTTGTGCCCTGGAGTTGTGGCATCCTTGGTGGCTAAAATTCCACTTTTCTGACCAGCACCTTCTATCTCTCTAGTCTTTATGTTTTTATTGTCACTAAAGTTACTCTTCTAACTCATTTAGCCTTTTAGTCCTTTGGACCTTTCATTATTTCCCAAGCAATCTATCAGCTATCTCTTCTTTGTTTCTGCCCTGCCAACTATCTTACTAATATTTTCAAACTGCCTTGCCACTGGTCCACCCATTGTACTTTTATAATAGCAGAACCCTGAACCTAGGTCAAACCAAAATGTCTACCTCCTACGCATGGGGACTGGCTTCAGTCTCAGATGGGCTTTCCACACTGCCATGGATCCTTTGTATGCCCTTCATCAGCATTCTCTCCCATTCACCTAAGAAGCCAGTTCAGCTCTTCCTCGGTTTTCTTAAGTCCCCTTCCTCCTGTCTCTCAGCAGATAACCCGTACTCCCACTTTACCATAAATGCAGAGGCCAAAAATAACTATTTAATAACTATTAAAAATATCCAGTATCATTCATCTTTTTTAAAAAAAACAACTTCTCTTGTCAAAAAAGGTATTTATTTGATATTTTATTCAAAATTAAATCTATTTTGACTGAATTGATTACATTTCTGCTACACAAATGCTTGTGTGGAAGGTGGTGGAAAGGAAGAGAATAGAAGGAAAAGGAAAGGAAGGGAAGTGATGGGAAGGGAAGACAAGACAAGAAAATATAAAAGATATGTTTCAATATAGCCTGTAGGAATATCAAGCAGCTACTGGAATGATTCTTACACAGCACATTTATTCCCATGGCAAAGTGTTTACAATGTATTTTAGTTGTAAAGCAAGTTACAGAACAATACGAATGGTTTGATAATGTCTTTGTAAAAATGTAGGTGTCTGTATGTTGTATAGGGCACTGATGGGCCAGGGAGATAATTGCCAAAATGCTACCCATATTTTTTCTGGTTTGTGGTATACCTTTGATTCACCAATATTTTATAAATCTATATTAAACATGTAATTTTTGTAATAAGTGCCTCCCTAGACACTACATCATTCCCTCCCTGTAGCTATGCCTTATCTATCCTCTTTTCTTCAAATCTAAACTTTTTGAGTTGTCTCCACTCACTGTTTCCATTTCTTTTGTCCAGTATCTCAATTGTTTGCAATATGGCCTGGGTTCCCACAGCCTACTGAAATCATCCTCACCAAGGTCATCCGTGACATCCTTGTTGTTAATCTACTGGATGTTTTCTGTACTTATCTGGCCTTCCCAAGTTGCTGGACTGGTTGATACTATGTTATGGATTACTCTGTTCTTTCTTTTACTCCCTCATCTCTTGGGTCCCAGGACCAAACTGTTTCAGGCTTCCCAGCAGCAAGAGTGTGAACTGAAAAGGCAGCCAAATCTGGGTTTAAATTCTGGCTCTTCCACTGACTTAGTAGCATAAACTTGGACATAAGGTCGCTGAGCCTCAGTTTCCTTTTAGGGGAATGATAACGCCTACTACATAAAGTTTTGTTCTGTATTAAATGAGCTGATGCTGGTGAAACACTTAGCAGTCAGTGGCACATGGAAAGTGGTAGTAAATGACAGTCGTAGCATTAGTAGAATTATTGTTATTCTTCTCTGAATTTTCTTCTTAGGTTCCCTTTTAAATGTCAGTGCTCCCTAAGGTTCTGTCCTGGGTCTTGTTCTGATGACATACCCTTGTCTTGGGTGCTCTCATCCATGCCCATGGCTTCAACTATCACCATATGCTGATAAATTATCAAATCTGTACCCTCATCCAGGCTTTTCTCCTGAGTTCTAGACCCTACTAACCATCTGCCTAAGGTTCACCACTTGAATGTCTCCTACCAGAATTTCAGATATGAGAAGATTGTGTAGATCAGTGGTTATCAACTGAAGACCATTGTGTCTGGAGTCATTTTTGGTGGTCATGGCTGGTGGCCTTGTTGGGGGAGGGGGGCTCTGTCCTGTTGAAATCAAGTGGGTAAAGGCCAAGGATGCTACTAAACATCTTACAATACATGGGACAGCCCCTCACAAAAAATAATTTTCTGGCCCCAAATGTCAATAGCGTCAAGGTTAAGATTCCCTGGTGTAAACAGTCTTGGAGTGCCTGGGTGGCTCAGTCAGTTAAGCCTCCAACTTCAGCTCAGGTCATGATCTCATGGATTGTGGGTTCAAGCCCTGCATCAGGCTCTGTGCTGACAGGTCAGAGCCTGGAACCTGCTTCAGATTCTGTGTCTCCCTCCCTCTCTGTCCCTTCCTGTTTGCACTTTGTCTGTCTCTCTCTCAAAAATAAATAAAACATTAAAAAACTTAAAAAAATAGTCTCTAAAGGCTCAGCTCCAACACTCAGTTGGAAACAGTCAAGTGATGATGAACAGGGACTAGAGAAGGAGGTGGAATGATTAAGATCACAGGGGGGTTTAGTGACAGAGCGGCCGTTGATCCCATTCTCCTCACTACTTGTTTGCCTTCTACTCCTCTTGCTGATTTTCCTCTGCTTCCTTTGGAAATTCTCCTTCCTGTATCTATTCCTTAAATAGCTGTCCCTTCAGTCTTCTGTCCTCATCTCTGCCCCTCTCAACATCTCTCACTAGTTCCATGATCTCATCTAATACCATGGCTTCAGCTTCAACCTGTACATCGATGACTTCCAGGTCTATGTTTCCAGGCCAGACTTTGATTTCTCAAGGTCCAGATTCATAGAGCTACATAACTACCTACTTACTATTATTCAGAAAACCTTCTGAACATAATAATTTCTATTCCCATATCCAAGGCTTGAGGATTTTGAAGGACTATATACATGCTATGATATTCCCTGTGCCCTCTGCTTTATTCACTTAACTGAGTAGTCTCATGTTTCAGACCAGTTTTTCACTTTTCTATCAAAATTTACCCTTCGAGAATCCCATTCCCTGGAATCCTGGCACGTGGCAAATGCTAGTCTTAGGTATTAATTCATACTTGTATTTACCAAATGGCTTAGTATGTTTGAGACACAGTACTGTTTTGGGGGAATTAATATAAGGCTATTTTAGAAGACATAATTGATTAAGCTTTATCCTGGTTCTGTAATTAACTGATTATGTAGCTTTGAGTATTTTAATTTTATTTTATTGGCCTCAGTTTCCCCCATCTGCAAGTTGAGACGGTTAGATGAGAACAGTTTCCAGAATATGCCTGATTATAACAATTACCAGAACTACTTGTTAAAAATAAAAATTTCCAGGTACTTCTCCCAAGTAGGATTCAGTATAAGTTATTATGTTATGGATTTCACCAGGTAAAATCCCCTGTATCAACCTTACCTACAACAGACAAACTCAAGTGCAAAAATCTCCATCTGTAAAACTCAAGATTCTCCCTCCAGTCCAGCTCTGTCCCATTACAGAGGACCCAACACACTTCTGCAATCCCAGCATTAGTGTCTCCCCATTTCCCCCCACCACTCCATAGCTGAAGGAGAGACCAAAGGACAGTGTTGGTATCTCTATAGCCTGATTGTAGGAACATCCAGAACTCTCTCACTATCATTTTTTTTCACAGTCTGATGCTTTAACTGCAATTTGCTCAAGGTTTCATAGAAGTAATTTGGAATAATCAGATAATCTTTAATTTGCTGAGCCAATTGAGCTTGGGTAAGAGTACCCTGTTTAGCATACTGGTCAGTCAAGGCATTTCTTTTTGCTTCATGGGTTTGTTCCTTAGTATGTTCCAACTTTAATTACAGCCACTTCCATGGAGTGTAGCAAGGCATCTAGTAAAGCTTGAACATGCTCACACTGCTTATTGGAAGTATCACCAGCTGTTAGAAAACCCTGTTGTTTGTGTAGCATGCCAAAATAACAAACCACACCAAAGGCATATCTGCTTTCTGTGTATATGTTAGCCCTTTGATTCCTTGCTATTGGTAGGCTAGAGTCAAGTTAACTTGACTTCAGGAAGGGAGTTATAGTCAACAAACTGGTGGGAAGACCACATACCCAACTTGAGAATATTAGGTTAGTCTCAAGATATGACTCATCTACAAAGAATTCTTAGCCTTATTTTTAAGTAGAGATTGTTCAAGGAAACAAGATGGAGACAGGCAAAATTCTTAGGTTAAATTTAAACAATCATTATTTTCCCTTCTTTGGAAGATGAAGTAAAAAGCTGAATTAAGATATAATTCCAAAATATACAAATGTCCAATAAACACATGAAGACACTCAACAACATTAGTCATCAGGGAAATTCAAATCAAAGCCACACTGAGATATTATTTCACACCCACAAAGATGGCAATAATCAAAAAGGACAAATGTTCTGAGGATATGGAAATGGAAACCCTACACATTGCTGGTAGGAATGTAAAATGGGCATTGTCACTGTGGAATAGTTTGGTAATTTCTTAAAAGGTTAAATGTAGAGTTATCATCTGATCTAGCAATTCCAATCCTAAGGATATACCCAGGAGAATTAAAAACATATGTCTACACAAAAACTTGTGCATGAATGTTTATAGTAACCATATTCATAGTAGCCAAGAAGTGGAAACAACCTAAACCTCCATCAACTTATGAATGGCTAAACAAAATGTGGTATATGCATATAATGGGATATTATTTAGCAAGAAAAAGTAATGAAGTACTGATGCATACTACAACATGAATGACCCTTAAAGCATAACAGGTGAAAAAAGTCAGACACAAAAGCCCGTATTGCTTGATTCTATTGACATGAAATGTCCAGGATATACACATCCATAGATATAGAAGGTACAATAATGGTTTCCCATGGTTGGGAGGAAAAGGGACTGAGAAGTGACTGCTAGTGGGTATGGCTTTGCTTTTGGGGATGATGAAAATCTTTGGGAATTAGATAGTGGTGACGGTTGCACAACTTTGTGAATATACTAAAACCCACTGAATTGTAAACTGAAAAAGGATACATTTTATGGTATGAAAATTGTATCTCAAATTTTAAAAACAGTATGACTCCTATAGATGGTAATATACACTGAGGATGGAAGCAGTGTTAATAGGAAGTGAATCTGAAAGCAGAGAAATGTTGAGTGCTTTGGTGAAAAGAGTTTGGATTGCTTGAGGTACCATTAGGTAGACAGGTGACCAAGATTAAATGTAGTTGTAGCTACTGCCCTCAAACAAAGGAGATTATGTTTAACTACTGGGTAGAGAGAAAGGTTGTAATACCCAATGAATCACTGATTTTCATTGTATTTCTGAGATAAAACTGTAAGAACATAACCATTTCTTTTATGTATAAACAGAAAAATAATAGTATAATTTTGGGGTGAGTCAGAATGGCAGGGCTGTGGATAGTAACTTTGAGTTGGTCAAAGGCTAACTCTGCAGTGACCTCTGAAGGCAGAGGTTCAGGGATGTCAATTTTAGTCATGTCATAGAAAGCGGCAGTTAATTCAGAAAATTTGGGAATCTACCAACTGCCCTATTCTCTAAATCTTCCAAATCCACCAAGTTGTCTTTTGGAATAGGATGAGGGCAGTTTTAAATGGCTACGCTTCTATCTACTCAGAGGTATTTGCCTTCCTAGGATATATCAGGGCTTAGATGGTGAATCTGGGTCCAACAAAATTGTAATTTATCTTTACAATCTGTATATCCTTTTATAGCGAAAGTTTCTGAGAGATAAAGAGAGCCCTGTTGAGAAAAGGTTAGATCATGTGGATATAAGAGCAACTCACCTGCATGTTGGATTAAGGTAGAGGAGCAGAGAAATTGTAAATCTTGGAGACTGTGATTGAGAACCTAAGATAAGTATGAAGGGGCTTCAATTGAGGTATTGTGGCATCCGTGTCCAGGCGTATTGCTATTTTTCCCATGTTAAGGTGAAAGGTATTGGAAATTAGGATGTAAGGGAACACTAAAGAAGGCTGAACAGACATCTACTACTCTGAAGTGTGTTGAATTTGGAAGTATAGAAAACAGGATAGTGTTTGGGTTGGGGACTGTAGGGAAATGTGGGCAATACTATATGATTCATAGCCCTTATGTCTTGTACAAAGTAGTGCCTATGTCCATCAGTCTGGTTTTACTGGAAGGACAGGAGTTTTGCAGCCAGTAGTACAAGGAATGATTAAACTATCTATGAAATCTGCCACAATTGGTCATACTCCCTCTAGTGATTTCAGGTTTTAGGGGATACTGGCCAATTTAGGCAGAGGCGTTGTGGGCTCAATACAGACTTATAAAGGTTCTATGTCCTTCATTTTTCCCTTGTCTGTAGATGAGGGAGCCCAAAGGACATTGGGTACTGAAGAAATTAATTCAGAAAACTGAAGTAATTTTAAGGGGACTCAGGAGTAATCTATAGGTGGTACTCAAGTAGTTGAGGGAAGTTATCAGTAAGATGGCATACTGGGTTATCAGAGTCTAGGAGATCAAGAAACAGCCTTTGAGTACATACCTTATAGTAGCTCTCCATTTTGCTCAAAGGTCCATTCTGAATAGGTTAGGGAGTGTGGAAGGACTGCAGTTAAAGGCATATTGAGAAGTTAAGACTCCCTAAGAGATAGGCATATGGTTAAAAGAGAAGGAGAAAATGTGTTCAATTGGTAGGTCCCACCTGAGGTGTTTTATTAACCTGACAGAGAATGGTAGGAAACTAGAAGCAATTAAGGTATTGAGTGTGACTCTAGTGTCTACTAAGAATGAGATTGAACAATCATTTATGAATACATATAGCTATTTCTCCTTGCTGATCCAAAGGCAGTTGGGAAAACTGGAGGATTCCTTTCTTTGGAGAGGAGAATCACTTTGTTTCTTTTTAAAAGAATTAAAATTTTTTTATGTTTATTTATTTTTGAGAACAAGAAAGAGCACACACGGGGGAGGGACAGAGAGAGGGAGACACAGAATCGGAAGCAGGCTCCAGGCTCTGAGCTGTCAGCACAGAGCCCGACACGGGGCTCGAAGTCACAGACCACGAGATCATGACCTGAGCCGAAGTTGCACGCTTAACCGACCAAGCCACCCAGGCGCCCCTCTTTTTAAAAATGTTTAATTTTGATTTTACTTTAATTACACTATAGCTAACATACAGTGTTTAATTAGTTTCAGGTGTACAATATAGTGATTCAACGATTCCATGTATTACTCAGTGCTCATCAAGATAAGTGTATTCTTAATCCCCTTCACTTATTTCACCCATCCCACCCACCACCTACCCTCTGCTAACCAGCAGTTTGTTCTCTATAGTTAAGAGTCTCTCCTTTGGTTTGTTTCTTATTTCCCCTTGTTCATTTGTATTGCTTCTTAAATAGCACATATGAGTGAAATCATATCGTATTTGTCTTTCTCTGACTTATGTCACTTAGCATTGAAGTCTCTAGATCCATCCATGTTGTTGCAAATGGCAAGATTTCATTCTTTTTTGTGGCTGAATAATGTGTATGCATGCGCGCGCGTGTGTGTGTGTGTGTGTGTGTGTGTGTGTGTGTCTGCGTGTGTATCACTTTTTTATCTATCCATCTACCAATGGACACTTAAGCTGCTTCCATAATTTGGCTATTGTAAATAATGCTACGTAGTGGTGCATATATCCTTTCAAATTAGTGTTTACATATTCTTTGGGTAAATACTGAGTAGTGCGATTACTGGATCATGTAATAATTCTATTTTTAGTTTTTTTGAAGAACCTCCATACTATTTTCCACAGTGACTGCATCAGTTTGCATTTCCACCAGCAGTGCATGAGGATTCCTTTTTTCCCACATTCTTGCCAACACTTGTCATTTCTTGAGTTTTTTGTTTTATCCATTCTGACAGGTTTTATCCATTGGGGTTTCGACTTGCATTTCCCTGATGATGAGTGATGTTGAGCACCTTTTCATGGGTCTGTGGTCATCTGTATGTCTTTGGATAAATGTATATTCATGTCTTCTGCCCATTTGGGAAAAGTTTTCAATTAGCAATAATCGCGCCTTGGATAAACCTCATTGGCTACGATACTGCCACTGTGCAAAGCTTCTTCTGCCCATTTTTAAATTGGATTATTTGTAGGGTTTTTTTTTTTGGTGTTGAGTTTTATAAGTTCTTTATATATTTTGGATACCTTTATCAGATATGTCAATTGCAAATATCTTCTCCCCTTCAGTAGGTTGTCTTTTAGTTGTGTTTATTGTTTCCTCTGCTGTGCAGAAGCTTTTTATTTTGATGTACTCCCAATAGTTTATTTTTGCTTTTGTTTCCTTTGCCTTAGGAAACATATTTAGAAAAATATTGTTAGGACTGATGTCAGAGCAAATACTGCTTGTGCTCTCTTCTAGGATTTTTATGGTTTCAGGTCTCACATTTAGGTCCTTAATCCATTTAAAAAATTTTAATTTCAGTGTAGATAACATACAATGTTATATTAGTTTCAGGTGTACAATACAGTGGTTCAACAATTTCATACATCATCCAGTGCTCATCATGACAAGATTTCTTAATCCATTTTGAATTTATTTCAGTGTATGGTGTAAGAAAAAATCCAGTGTCCTTCTTTTTTATGTAGCTTTCCACTTTTCCCAACACCATTTGTTGAATAGACTTTTTCCCATTGTGTATTCTTGCCTCCTTTACTGAAGATGAATTGACCATATAATCATGGGTTTATTTCTGGGCTCTCTATTCTGCTACATTGATCTATGTGTCCACGTTTGTGCAAGTACCATACTGTTTTGAATACTAGAGCTTTGTAATATAACTTTAAGTCTGCAATTGTGACACATCCAGCTTTGTTTTTCTTTTTCAAGATTGCTTTGGCTACTCAAGGTCTTTTGTGGTTCCACACAAATTTGGAGATTGTTTGTTTTAGTTATGTGAAAAATGCTTTTGGTATTTTGATGGGAATTGAATTAAATCTGTAGATTGCTTTAGTTGTATGGACATTTTAACAATATTTGTTCTTCCAATCCATGAGCATGGAATGTCTTTCCAATTGTTGGTGTCATCAATGAATTCTAGTTTTCAGGGTACAGGCCTTCTCACCTCTTTAGTTAAGTTTATTTCTAGGTATTTTATTATTTTTGATGCAACTGTAAATGGGATTATTGTCTTAATATTTATTTATTCTGCTTTATTATTAATGTATAGAAATGCAACAGATTTACGTGCATTGATCTTGTATCCTACAACTTTACTGAACTCATTTATCAGTTCTAGTAGTTTTTGGTGGGGTGTTTAGTATTTTCTATATATAATATCATGTCATCTGCAAATAGTGAAAGTTTTAAATTTTCCTTATCAATTTGAAGGCCCTTTATTCCTTTTAGTTGTCGGATTGCTACGGATAGGACTTCCAGTACTATGTTGAATAAAAGTGGTGAGAGTGGACATCCTTGTCTTGTTCCTGTTTTTAGGTTGCAAGCTCTCAGTTTTTCCCCATTGAGTATAATGGTAGTTGTGGGTTTTTCATATATGGCCTGCATTATGTTGAGGTAGTTCCCTTTAAGCCTACTTTGCTGAGAGTTTTTATCATGAATGTATGTTGTGCTTTGTCAAATGCTTTTTCTGCATCTGCTGAAATGATCATATAGTTTTTATCCTCTCTTTTATTGATGTGATGTGTCACATTGATTTGTGAACACTGTATCACCCTTGCATCTCAGGAATGAATCCCATTTAATTGTTGTGAACTTTTTTTTTAGATGTATTGTTGGATTCAGTTTGGTAATATTTTGTTGAGAATTTTGCATCATGTTCATCAGAGATATTGGCCTGTAGTTCTCTTTTTGTAGTATCTTTATCTGGTTTTGTTATCAGGGTAATTATGGCCTCATCAGATGAATTTGGAAGTTTTCCTTCTTCAATTTCTTGGAATAATAGTTTGAGAAAACTAGGTATTAACTCTTCTTTAAATGTTCAGTAGAAATCACCTGTGAAGCTGTTCCATCCTCGACATTTGTTTGTTGGAAGTTTTTTGATTATTGATTCAATTTCATTCCTGGTAATAGGTCTGTTCAAATTTTCTTCCTGGTAATAGGTCTGTTCAAGTTTTCTATTTCTTTCTGATTCAGTTTTGGGAGGTTATCTGTTTCTAGGAATTTATCCATTTCTTGTAGGTTGTCTAACTTGTTGGCATATAATTTTTCATAGTATTCTCTTATAATCTTTGGCATTTCTGTGGTGTTGGTTTTTCTTTCTCCTCTTTCACTTCTAATTTTGTTTGAGTCCTCTCTCTCTCTCTCTCTCTGTCTCTCAATGAGACTGGATAAAGGTTTATAAATTTTTTTTTGATCCTTTCACAGAATCAGCTCCTTGTTTCATTGTTCTATTGTTTTTTGTTGTTGTTGTTGTTGTTTTTATTTCATTTATTTCTTCTCTAATCTTTGTTATTTCTTTCCTTCTACTGTTTTTTTTTTCTAGTTCCATGTATTGCTCTAAACTTCCCACTTAGAATAGCTTTTGCTGCATCCCAAAGATTTTGGACTGTTCTGTTTTATTTTTATTTGTCTCCATGTATATTTTGATTTCCTCTTTGATTCCTTGGTTGACACATTCATTGTTTACTAGCATGTTATTTAACCTCCATGTATTTGTGCTTTCCAGATTTTTTTCTTTTGGTTGATATCTAGCTTCATAGAACCGAAGTCAGAAACGATGCATGGCTCGACTTTGATCTTTTTGGATTTGTTGAAACTTGTTTTGTGGCTAATATGTGATCTATTCTGGAGAATATTCCATGTGCACTTGAAAAGAATGTGTATTCTGCTGTTTTAAGATGGAATGTTCTGAATATATCTGTTAAATCCATCTGGTCCAATGTGTCATTCACAGCCAGCGTTTCCTTGTTGATTTTCTGTTTGGATGATCTGTCCATTGATATAAATGGAGTGTTAAAGTCCCTGCTATTATTGTATTACTATCAATAAATTCCCTTATGTTTGTTATTAACTGTTTTATGTATTTTGGTACTCTCATGTTGGGTGCATAAATATTTACAATTGTTATATCTTCTTGCTGGATTGTTCCCTTTTTGATTACAGAGTGTCCTTCTTTGTGTCTTCTAACAGTCTTTGTTTTCAAGTATGTTTCATAGGATGTAAGTATTGCTACCCCAGCTTTTTTTTAAAATCCATTTGCATGATAAATACTTCTCCATCCTTTCATTTTCAATATGCATATTTCTTTAGGTCTGAAATAAGTCTCTTGTATGCGGCATATAGATGGATCTTTTTCTTTTTAAAAAATTTTTAATGTTTATTTATGCTTGAGAGACAGAGAGAGACAGAGCATGAGTGGGGGTGGGGGTGGGGAGAAAGACAGGAAGACACAGAATCCAAAGCAGTCTCCAGGCTCTGAGCTGTCAGCATAGAGCCTGACGTGAGGCTTGAACCCATGGACCGTGAGATCATTAACTGAGCAAAAGTTGGATGCTTAACCAACTGAGCCACCCAGGCACCCCTAGATGGGTCTTTTTCTTAAAATCCATTCCATCACCCTATGTATTTTGATTTGAGCATTTAGTGCATTTACAGTCAAAGTAATTATTGATAGGTATGTATTTACTGCCATTTTGTTACTTGTTTTATGGTTGTTTTGTATTTCTTCTCTGTTCCTTCCTTCCCTTGCTCTCTTCTCTTAGGACTAGTTGGCTTTCTTTAGCGATATACTTGGATTCCTTCCTCTTTAGTTTTTGCATATCTATTACTCATTTTTGATTTGTGGTTGCTGTTCAAGTTATAATGACATAAATTTGTGGTGTGTGGATTTTTTCTTTGCTTATTATGCTCCCTGCAAAATGCTGAACTAAAAAGCACTGGATTCAAAGTGTTATAACTCATGAATGGGCGTGGTCTGCCAGACAATTTAAGCTTCTGAATGCCATCTGATATTTCAGGCTCAAGGCAATTAACAAAAAATATGCAGATTGCTGTTGGGGTGTTAGCTTTGATGCTTTAAATGTGGTTTGTAATGGGTCCCTAAAATTAGAGACAGATTTATCACACCCTTATTGACAGGTTTGGATTATTCCTCAGTCAGTGAAAGAGGGACAACCTTCAGGGATTGTGTAGAAAGTTTTTCCCTCTGTCTCTGCTCAGGAAGATCCTGTCCCATTTTTCAAAGCCTAGCTCAGATACCACCTCCTCCATGCAGCCTTCTATCTCTATGGCTTTTGCATGTCTGGAGAGTTCTGAAGGTGGGGATTTAGAAGTTAGAGAGAGCTGAGAAAGAGAAAAAGGATGAGAAAGAGGTCAGAGCAAAGGACATAGAATGGAGAGGTAGAAATCCAGGAGGGGTTTGGGTTATCAGGGGAAGACACAGAATTAGAAAGAAGGAATTCTTTAGGGAAGGAGAAGGCTGAGGTTGTTTTAAATGAAGAATCAAGAGATTGGAATCTTTCTGATCTTATTCTTTTCTCAGCATCACCTTACCAGTTAAAGAAAGCTGCTTGTTGTTAGCCATTTTATTTATTTGTTTGTTTGTTTCTTTGTTTGTTTATGTGTTTGTTTTTTGTTCTAAGGCAGAAGTCTTGATGTGTCCCAAGAATCCCAAATGAACCCTTGCCATTCAAAATTGTCTTCCTCAAAGTTATTCCACTTAGGTCATAATAAAAGTTCCATCATAGAAGAAGAAAGAAAGGCATTCTACCTTAGGATCATCACCTCATTCTCCGATCCCAGAGAACATAGATGGCCAGAGAACTCACAGAGACAAAAAAAAATACAGACAGTGACTTCATTCAGACAATAGGTTAACTCTCTCAAAGAATCAAAGCCTGCAACTTTAATGCTACAAAGAACTAGAGCACGTGAGTGGGAACAGGACATCACATGTTACCCGATAGGGGCCTCTAAGAATGGAGGGAGAGATGCCTTGACTTGCGTTCTTGTCTGAAATCTTAGTAGGTTCAAGGGCTTATCCAGACCCAACTGGAGTCATTGCACCGGACTGTCACATACAAAATAGTTAAAGTGACTGAAATAGAGGTTACAGGCTTTATTCAGTTCAGGCACATCTGGGAATGCCTGACATCAGATAACTTCCTGAGCCAAAGTAGGGTTGGGGTTTTCATAGGATGAGAAGAGAGGAGTATAGAACTGTGGTCTTGCCCCAGGATGCAGTATTCTTTATCTGTAAGTGCCACACAACTTGCTGTCGACATGGTTGGAGATTGTTCTAGTTTATTACAGCTCTCTCGGGATTGTTGGTGCAATCTCATTTTGGCTGCTGTCAGAGCAGTTCTTCTGAAAGTGATCTTTGTTAGCCTGTGGGTTGTCTATTAACAGTTTAATGGCAGTTGAGGTACAGAAACAGAGAGCTAGAAAAGAAAGAGAACAACAAGAAGAAATAAAAAGAAAGGTGACAATATTCCAAGCAAGGAAAAACTGGGGTTTGTTTTAAATTTTTTTTTTACTTTTTTTTAACTTTATTTTTTATGTTTTAAAATTTACATCCAAATTAGTTAGCATATAGTGAAGCAATGATTTCAGGAGTAGATTCCTTAATGCCCCTTACCCATTTAGCCCATCCACCCTCCCACAACCCCTCCAGCAACCCTCAGTTTGTTCTCCATATTTATGAGTCTCTTCTGTTTTGTCCTCCTCCCTGTTTTTATATTATTTTTGTTTCCCTTCCCTTATGTTCATTTGTTTTGTCTCTTAAAGTTCTCATATAAGTGAAGTCATATGATTTTTGTCTTTCTCTGACTGACTAATTTCACTTAGCATAATACCCTCCAGTTCCATCCACGTAGTTGCAAATGGCAAGATTTCATTCTTTCTGATTGCCAAGTAATACTCCATTGTGTGTGTGTGCGTGTGTGTGCATATATATATATATATATATATATATATATATATACCACATCTTCTTTATCCATTCATCCATCGATGGACATTTAGGCTCTTTCCATACTTTGGCTATTGTTGATAGTGCTGCTATAAACATGGGGTCCATGTGTCCCTTCGAAACAGCACACCTGTATCCTTTGGATAAATGCCTAGTAGTGCAATTGCTGGGTCGTAGGGTAGTTCTATTTTTAGTTTTTTGAGGAACCTCCATACTGTTTTCCAGAGTGGCCGCACCAGCTTGCATTCCCACCAACAATGCAAAAGAGATCCTCTCTCCACATCCTCGCCAATAACTGTTGTTGCCTGAGTTGTTAATGTTAGCTATTCTGACAGGTGTAAGGTGGTATCTCATTGTGGTTTTGATTTGTATTTCCCTGATGATGAGTGATGTTGAGCATTTTTTCATGTGTCGGTTGGCCATCTGGATGTCTTCTTTGGAGAAGTGTCTATTCATGTCTTTTGCCCATTTCTTCACTGGATTATTTGTTTTTTGGGTGTTGAGTTTGATAAGTTCTTTGTAGATTTTGGATACTAACCCTTTATCTGCTATGTCATTTGCAAATATCTTCTCCCATTCTGTCGGTTGCCTTTTAGTTTTGCTGATTGTTTCCTTCATGTGCAGAAGCTTTTTATTTTGATGAGGTCCCAGTAGTTCTTTTACAGTTGCCTCAGCTTTCACCATTTCTATGCACCCTTCACTCAGGTACACAAATTCTCAAGTTCAAACCTCAAATTTTCCCCTCCCCCTGCGGCTTAGCTCTATACATCCCACTGCTCCCCCTAATACTCCCCTGCACTCCAGTTTTATTGCCTTTGTATCCTCTGCCCCATAGTTACAGGAAAGGTCACATCTTGTTGGGTGGGGAGACTGAAATCAGGGAGAAGAATCATGGAGAGGCTGTATCTGAGTTAGGCCTTGAGATTGGACAAGATCTGCCTGGGTAGAGGCAGAGGGAAAAAACTTCCAGAAACATACAATGGTATGAGTTTGTTAATTCTTCAAAAAGAATATTATGGAGGACTTTCTTTGTGTCAGGCATTAATTGTGTTCTGAGTAAGAGTGTGGGTTTTGAGGACAAAGACTCAAACCCCAAGGCTTGCCACTTCCTGGCCATACGAGGGGTTGTGATCAGCCATAACATAATCAATGAAGCAGGCTGGGTGGAGGTTGACAAATTAGAGAGCAAAAGTCCTGTTTAACAAGGACAACTCTTGCGCAGATGCTGGCAGTCATAGCCATGTGGTCTAGTTGGGTGTGATATTCAGATAGTTCAAGAAAACTGAAATTCTGGATTTTTATGTGAAATATTTTTATTTTTAAAATACTGGCCATTAAATTTAAAAAGATACATTTACAAGTTACACTGCACATATCTGTAGGCTGGTTCTCTTCATGGATGGCAAGTTGTCCCACTCTGACTTAAAGGCTTAACTCTTGGGGGTGCCTGGGTGGCTCAGTCGGTTAAGCGGTTGACTTCAGCTCAGGTCATGATCTCACAGCTTGTGAGTTCGAGCCCCTCATCAGGCCTTGTTCTGACAGCTCAGAGCCTGAAGCCTGCTTCAGATTCTGTCTCCCTCTCTCTCTGCCTTTTCCCCACTCATTCTCTGTCTCTCTCTCTCTGTCTCTGTCTCTCTCTCTCTCTCTCAAAAATAAACATTTAAAAAATTAAAGGCTTAACTCTGTACTTAGTAGAACAAACAAGACCCTCCAATAAGCACTTCTGCTTCATTTCCAGCCTTGCTTTCCCCCTACATCTCTCCTTCTCTGCCACTCTGTGGCCCCACATAGTAAAATTCTTGCCCAGATGAACCTTTGTGTTCAGGTAGAGGTCGCTGAAGAGCTTTTCTCCATCTGCCCACTTCAATTTTCTTCTCTGGACTAACATCTCCTATTCTTCAAGAACCATCTCCTTTCAGAAGCCTTCACTAACTCCT